ACCTACACAAATTCTAAACTTCATAGGGGCGCGTCTCGACTCAGTCAGAAAGAGTTCATCTGCTAGTCGAGCGTTTTCAACTTATGCAAGACCTGATAAAAACAGTCTTGCAAGCTCCAACGCTCCCAGTACGTGTATGCCTCCAGCTTCTGGGTCATATGGCATCGACTACAATCATAGTCCGCCACGCAAGGCTACACCTCAGGTGTCTACAGCACTGGCTAAGCACGGTATACAATCCAACCAGGCACAGCATCTGCAAGACCGTGGTGCTACCTGCACATGTCAAAGACTCCCTCTTATGGTGGACCGATCGCAACAACATGCTGTCAGGAGTCCCCTTTCACGCACCGCGGCCGTCAGTGGAGATAACCACAGACGCTTCTCTCATCGGCTGGGGTGCCCACATGGGCGCAAAAACAGTTCAAAGCCGTTGGTCCACGACGGAGATGATGCTCCATATCAACTTTCTCGAGCTCCGAGCGGTGTTTCGTGCCTGCAAACACTTCAAGTTACACATAAGAGGCACTGTCACGAGAATTCTCACAGACAATGTAGTGGCGATGTATTATGTGAACAAACAGGGGGGTGCCCGATCCTGTTCACTTTGTGCAGAAGCGATCCGCCTCTGGAACTGGTGCATTCAAAACAACATTTTTATAGTCGCGTCATACTTACCGGGTGCGAACCATACCACTGCGGATGCGCTGAGCAGACATTTCCCTGAAGACCACGAGTGGGTGATCCGCACGGATGTCCTCTTACCTCTCTTCCATCGGTGGGGCTTTTCGGTGATAGATCTGTTCGCCACGCATGCCAATGCGAAATGCAGAGCTTACTGTTCCAGAGCAGGACTGGGCAACCACTCTCTGGGAGATGCATTTCTCCTTCATTGGGGCACATCACTTTTGTATGCATTCCCCCCTGTTGTACTCGTTCCCAGAGTACTTGAGAAGATCATGATGGACAGGGCACGAGTGATACTCATAGCCCCGGCGTGGCCCAGACAGCCATGGTACTCAACTCTTCTGCAGCTCTCCGTACGAGCACCGCACCGATTGCCTTACCTACCGGACTTGCTCACACAACAGAAAGGCTCCCTGCTTCATCCGAAGCTGGATACTCTGCACCTGACTGCGTGGATGATATATGGTTCAGCGCGTCTGAGAACCTTTGTTCAGACCAGGTGAAGCGTGTTCTCTTACACAGCAGGAAGGATTCCACTAGGAAAACTTACCGGTCCAAGTGGTCTAGGTTCGTGCGCTGGTGCGCTCCTAAGCTTCTAGACCCTCTTGTTTCACCACTACATGTTTTACTGGACTATGTCCTTCAGCTACAATTGACTGGACTCTCCATCTCATCACTTAAAGTCCATGTGGCGGCGATAGCTGCTTTTCACTATCCCGTTGAAGGCAAGTCGGTTTTTTCCCCATCCCATGATGACTAGATTGCTCAAAGGACTGGCTAACCTTAACCCACCACGTAGGCCTCCACCACCAGCATGGAATCTTGACCTGGTGCTTGATGTCCTAACGCGACCACCGTTTGAACCGTCAGCCACGGTACCCATGTCGGTGCTTACAATGAAGGTACTCTTTCTTTTTGCCATAACATCGGCACGTAGGGTGAGCGAATTAGCTGCTTTGATGTCAACACCTCCCTATACAGTGTTTAATGCGGAATCAGTGATACTGAGGACTCATCCAGCCTTTCTACCTAAAGTCTGCACAGATTTTCATATAAATGAGTCAATCGTTTTGCCATGTTTCTGTCCAAAACCTCATACCTCTCAGCGTAATGCCCTTTTGCATACCCTCGATGTTCATAGAGCCTTGGCATTCTATATAGATAGAACCTGTACTCTGCGTAAGATGGATCGCCTCTTCGTTTTGACATCAGGGCCTTCTAAGGGCAAGTCTTTATCGGCCCAACGTATTTCTAAACTGGTTGTCTCTTGTATTACGACTTGATATACCATTGTAAGAAGCCGCTCACGTCGCAGCCTAGGGCCCACTCGACACGAGCAGTTGCTGCGTCGGCAGCTTTCGTGAAAGGAGTCCCCCTGCGGGACATCTGCCGAGCGGCGTCTTGGTCTTCTACTTCCACCTTTTCAAGGCATTATGCAATTGTTCAGCACTTCTCCTCTGACTCAGCGGTAGCCTTGGCAGTGCTGCCTAGTGTTCAGAATCCCGATTCTGATGCCCACGTCTAACTGAGATTACTGCTTCGGAGTCACCAGACGTGGAGCACCCACGGGGACTACCCGGAGAAGAAGAGGAAGTTACTCACTTCGTGCAGTAACGATGGTTCTTCGAGGTGTGTCCCCGTGGGTGCTCCACGACCCGCCCTCCTCCCCGCTTCGGAATCTTGTCTTTCTGTCTTTCAGATAGGCGGTGAGACGAACTGGCGGGCGCCGGACCGCACGCGGCAGATGAAAGGCGCGAAACTGGCTCACGCACACGCGGTCCGGCCACACACACACACACACAGCTCTGGCAAGCTCCGATTTGCGGCGCCGGGACCAGCCCAACACCAGACGTGGAGTACCCACGGGGACACACCTCGAAGAACCATCGTTACTGCACGAAGTAAGTAACTTCCTCATGCACCTAAATTAATATCTCTGATTTTCTCCGTCTACCCACTCCTTGAGGATTTTCAGAAGCTTAAATATACCACTTAAAAAGTTAGTTTTATCCATTTGAAGATGCAATATATTGGCCGAGGAAAGTGTATTTAACTTTAGCTTTTTGCTATCTTTGAAAAATTAGGACTTAATTTACCAGTGAAGTTCCTAATTTAGCAATACTGGATGCTGTTATATAGATAAGAGCCATTCATTTTTACCATGATACTTTAAAAACAATTTCTGCTTCAGTGATCATAATGGAAATGTCATTTACATCTTGCAAAAAAGTAGTGCTACCATTGTATTTTTCTATACTAGAGTACTTGGTAATGTTAATTAATTTGAACTCTCAATAGTGTTAGATGACACGATTAGCACATTAGAACACTGCAGTTTCTATTTGTTGTGCAACCATTGATGAACTACAGTCCTAATTTTCCAGTATAGCTGTAACCTTAGAGTAGTCACCACTAATATATTAGCACTTACCTCTCATAAATAGTTGTTCTTGCACATACTCTGCATTTTAGAAGAATACAGAGGTAACATTAATTGCATGCAGGAGATAAATTTAATGAGCTCAGTAGTTTCCAGACTAGCTTGAGTGAACTCTTCCTCCTCCCCAGTGTGGACAACATCATTAATATAAACTTATAGGTTAATGCTATAGACTATACGCATTTTCCCCTCCACTCCTTGCCAGTAAATTTTTTAGCAGGCTGGCCAGCAGCCTGGCTGAGTCTCGGCTTGTGCAGGATCTGAGGCCTACCCCCACTGTGGCTCTGCATTTAAAGTGTATTAGGAGCCAGGCGAGTAGGCAGCCCAGCTCAGTTCCAGCTCGTGCCGGGTCCAGCAGCTCAGACCCCACACCCGGACAGGGGCTTATAGAATAGTCGACTAGAATTCATGAGGTTAATCAGCTATTCAATTAACTTATATTTAACATCCCTGGTCTATAGGGGAATATATTGCAACATTCCACATTGAGTTAGTTAGAGGTGCTTTATACTATGGGCACACTAAAAACACTGTTTTGGCTAGGTCTCTGCCAGCATAGCGCTGTCTATACAGGTGCAAAGATCAGTGGATTATTCACACTCCTCAGCAACACAGTTATACCAAAATAATTCTGTAGTATGGACCAGAGTTTTGAGTACATTACCAGTTACTGAAAGACCGCTGTCATTGGCTAATAATTTGCCTATACAGCTTTAGAGATGCTTTCTTCAGGATTTATTGGTTGTGATGCTGTCTTTACTCTGGTCTACATCTATTTGCCTGCCATTCATCTAAGAAGCCTAGGGAACAGTCAATCAAACTTTATCTGTCTTATTGAAGGGCTTCATAAATGGACACTGAGCAATTTAGAGAGAGTCTTGACTTCATTGTATAATTTATTTGCCATTAGTGCATATTCTGATATTTTACCTGCTGTGCCTCGGAAAGGAAGTATCAGCATACAAGTCACATTAGTAGGAATGTACTGGGAATCTTGAGTTACCTTTCTATGTGCTGCATCTGTTCTATGGGAAGTATAACTTCACTTTCCAGCTCTGTTGTTCTAAAACTTTTCACGAGCACTAAAATCTCTTTGATGATTATCTCATTTTTGGTTAGTTTGTAAAAAATCAATTTGGTTTAGGCAGTTGTGATTTGAAAGTGTAGAACATAATCGTTCTTAAAGCAGGACTTGTTTTACGATCAAAGCCACTGAAAATATCTGTGATTGCTATGTAATATGTCATTTCCAGTGTCTGTCACTACATTTACATTTCACATCATAGCTAAAGATTTTAGTTGTATTCCCATAACAGTTTTTTACACTCTGGGGGAAATAGCCAAATAATTGTGTTCTTTCATCATGTAAATGAGTCCACAACAATCCTACCCCATCTTATTCAATCACTTCTGTGTAAACATTGGGAATATGAGGAAGATGTACATATTTAATGTTCTTTTGAATCATGTTAGAATTAGCTATGGACTCCATTTCCTTAATGGTTTCTATTTCTTATTTCATTAGTTTACATTTTAAAATTTTGATTTTGCAGGTAAAAAGACTGAGAGTTCGCAGAATTTAAATTGTTCAGATTCCAAATCTATTCAAGACAAGAAGGGATCTATGAAGAAAGAAAATGAAGCCCAACACGTAAGGCAAAATTGGAAGACTCTGATCCAAATTCTAATTCTAATAATTGACAAAATCCTAAAAATGTTTCATTTCTAATGATTAATACAAATGTTTAGGAAAAAGTAGCAAATGAAATTTTGCATTTGTGGATCCCATTAATGATATCAAAATTGGAATTTAATTGTAGCTGTTCACTATAGCAAGTATTTTTGAATATTCCACATCTTCTAATATGATTAGGCTGTAACATTCATTTATAGAAATACTATAAAGAAAATTACATAAAGCAACATATAGAAACTATAGGAGTGCATGTGCATATAAAATATAAACACTAAGTTCATAGCTATCATATATTAATTATATTCATTACAGAATTTCATAGTACTTAAATACATTTTTTGTGGTTCAGAGAAATACCTTTCTTCACGCAGTTTCCATAATCAGCCATTTATTTCAAAATTTTGTATGTTACCATTTTGGCTGACAGATTTATTAAACATTTCATGTAATTTTGAATAAATAGTAGAAATAATGTATGATTGAAACTGGTTTTCCTGTTAGAAGTGTAATGTAAAATCAAATTGATGGCCATAGTTTGAAACTCTGGTTTGGTCTGCTGCTCTTAAGGGATGTAATCTAACAGCAACATGGGGACTACATGTTTGGCTCAAGCACAGGGGGACACTGTGTATTGTTCTGCTTCTGTTTCTTTACCAGCAGTCAAAAGACAATGCTGGTGGGTGTAAAAGATTAGCCCTCCTCCCCCTTTTGATGTCAGAATATTTACCACCACCTGATAATGCTGTAGTCAATATCTCACCTCCCACCTTTTCGCAAGTTGATATTGAGGTTGTGGCCTTATTTATTACATAAATAACAGAAAATATTATGTGAACCAGTGCAAAGCTAAAAAATTACCACTTGCTGGATTTATCTGACCACTGCTCAATATGAACCTGATTTAGTGGGAAAAACAAAACTGTATGCAATCTTCTAAACAGTGCAAGCAACTGAATGTGCCCAAGGAGTGATTGCCATTTCCTTCTCCACAAAAATCAGCTGTAGGGCCATAAGTTGTAGAAAGATAGCCTCTGCAGATGAGTTCACTGCCTCTTGTGTAGTAGTACCGTGGCCTGAGAAACCAATTAGGGAGAAAAATGGCTGTGATATCTGACCAGTGTTTTAAGAACACTTAAGTTTTTTTACCATGTAGGTCATCTTTCCTCTTTTAAAAAAAATAAAAATTTTCATTGCAAATATAAAAAAAAAAAAAAAACCATCCCTAACCCTCTGTATTGATGCAAATTTTTGTACAGGTAAGTTTTAAAACCTGTTAGTTAGTTTCCATAGCAACTGACTAGTTAAAAGTTCCTACTCTGTACCTTATGAGAGATGGTCTTTTACTAATAAAATCATAGACATGTAGGACTGGAAGGGACCTCAGTTGGCTGTCTCATCTAGTCCCTTGCATTGAGGCAGAACTAAGTATAGTAGACTCTTGCTCCTCAGTTGGCTGTCTCATCTAGTCCCCTGCATTGAGGCAGAACTAAGTATAGTAGACTCTTGCAAATCGTGGAATTGCTATTTGTGATTCTGCATATTCATGAGGTTTCTCTGTCCTGGCCTGGGGGGATGGTGAATGCAGTAGCTGCAGTGAGTTCCCTGTGGCTCCCTGCCTCTCAGCGTGAAATTAGAGCAGTGGGGAGCTCATCCCAGGAGCTGAGATCCACAGATCCCAAACTTCACCATTCGCAGTAGTGCCAGGAACTAGAGATGTGGACCCAGGTAATTGGTTAACTAGTTACTGAGTAAGCATCACCTTTAACTAGTGATGCTTACCAGGTACCAGCAGAGCCAGTCTTAGGGGCGGGCAAGCTGGGTGGTTGCCCAGGGCCGCCATTTTGAAGGGGCTTCTGACAGAGCTGGTCTTTTTTTTGGCTTGGCCTGGGTCTGCCAATTGGTTAAGACCGGTCCTGGGTACCAGTTAACTGGTACGGTACTCGGGAGCAGCCCCGTGGTGGTCAGGAGCTAGCCTCCACTCCCTGCATGGCTGTATCGTGAGCAGAAGCCAGCTGCCCAGTACGGAGAAAGAGGTGGATGGCAGGAACAGAAGCTGTCCGGCATTCCCAACTATGGGTGGAGGGGGGACAGACTTCTGATCCCCACCTCTGTGCTTGGGACTGCCTGCTTCTGCTGCCCAACCCTTCCCCCCCACAGGGAGGGCTGGCAGCCCCAAGCTTGGGAGGACAGGAGCAGAACTTGGCACCTGATGCCAGCCCCCTCATGCAGGATCCCACTTCATTGGTTAAAGGGCTAAACCTAAGGTTTAAACCGACTAACCGGGATTTTACATCCCTGCCAGGAATGCATCCACCCCAAATGGTGCGGGTTTCCTGTATTGTCTAAACCAGGGGTGGAAAACCGTTTTTGGGTTGGGGGCCACTGACCCAGAGAAAAATTGGTCAGGGGCCACACACAAGCGAGAAGCAAAGTGAGAAGCTGCTGACTGAGAAGGAGAAAGACGCTCCCCACGTTCCTCTTGCACACCAGAGCCTAGAGGGGCCCAGACAGTAGACTGTGTGCGCCAGCCCTGCGTGTGGGTGGCAGGGGGGCTGAAGTGCCAGCGCAGGCTCCCCAATGCTGAGCCTCGGGGGCCAGAGCCAGGCAAGCCAGGGGTTGTGGCTCATTCCTAAATAAACCAGTTAATTTTCAGTGATTCTTATGTGTAAAATGTATATGCCTCTTAGTAGAGGAAATTACTATAATGTATTATGGTATATATTTTTCAAATTAATCATAAGTGAATTGAGAGGAATGCAATTTTATATTTTTTCTGAAGGTTTTAATACGAAGGAGCAGCAGTCCAGCTGAACTAGATTTGAAAGAAGACTTGCAGCAGTCACATGGAAATCACAGAGAGAGAGAAATAAGTGAGTTTCAGGAAACCAAATACTTTTCCTAAGGAGTAGTAATTTGCTGTCCCATGTGCTAATTTGACAAATTACATATAGAATACTGATTGTTTTTAATCATGTTTTTTAAAATAAGATTTGTTTTTATTGTAGTACATTGCTTATGAGACTTAGTAATTCTTGCTTATTTTAGGTGAAAGTGTTAGCAGTGACATGTCCATTGGCTACAATAATGAAGTAGAGACCACCCTGGTTCCCTGGCAAACATGTGAAGAAGAACATGAAGTTACTATACCTACTGACATTTGTGTAGATGCAGATGCACATCATTGGCTGCAGCTTAGTCCTTCAGATGCTGCAAATTTAACAGGTACCAATGTTCATAGTGCAATAGATATTGTAGATTTTATTCATGAAATGATAGGATTTAGGAATATAAGAATGGCCTTACTGGGTCCAACCAAATGTCCCTCTAGTACAGTATCCTGTCTTCCAGAAATGGCCCATGCCAGATGCTCCGAGGGAGTGTACAGAATAGATAATTATGAAGTGATCCGTCCTGTTACTCTTTCCTATCTTCTTATCCATGCTAATTAACTCTCTCTGCATGCACTTTTTTCTATTTTCAAAAGTGTTTGCTTTAAAATAGATGAGAATTATTTGGCATTAAATGTAACCCTAATGGTGTAGCTTATCTTTAAGAAAAAATATTGTAAACTCTTAGTAATGCTTCATTTTCTTTATTTTGAATAATATTAACAAAACTGTGTGTACAGTACTAGTGTCTAGAAAGTTAACCCTTCCTCAGATAATATGCATTATCACTTTTTCACTTCATCATAATGATGTGTCTGTTTGATTCCCTAATGTAACACAACTCAACAGAACAAAATACACACACACATGCAAAAATGGAAGGCAGTGAAACAAAGCCAGTAAATACTATATATTGTATGTTATTAAATGAGGGACAGTCATGTAAGAACATGATAGTGAAATGAACGTCAGACATCATTAGTATCTCAAAGTGAAGGTCATCTCTTTAGGTTTCTTGTTTGTGCTCTGGTATCTTTCTTCTTGAGGTGACACAAGTAATTAGCTATTTTGTCAAGAGATACATTAGAAGTAGAAACAGCAATTCATCCACCCTCCACCCGATGAAACAGAAAAGTATTTTTTTCTGTAAGGCTATATGTGAAGTTAAGGGTAATGAGTATATTTGTGATATTCTATTCTTACTGGTTTCTAAATATTAAGAAAGTGGAGGAAGAGATCTGTACTTACAAGAATATCATCTTATGATTAAAAAACTGGGTCTACTATAGTTAAAATGATCAGAATTTAATGTCCAAATATTTAATAATCATAGAACACTAGAACTGGAAGGGACCTCAGCATGTAATCAAGTTCAGTCCCCTGCCCTCACGACAGGACCCAGTACCATCTAGACCATTTCTGATAGATGTCTATCTAACCTGCTCTTAAATATCTCCAGAGCTGGAGATTCCACAATCTCCGGAGGCAGCTTATTCCAGTGTTTAACCACCCTGGCAGTTAGGAACATTTTCCTAATGTCCAACCTAAACCTCCCTTGCTGCAGTTTAAGCCCATTGCTTCTTGTCCTATCCTCGGAGGCCAAGGAAAACAATTTTTTTCCCTCCTCCTTGTGACACCCTTTTAGATACCTGAAATCCGCTATCATGTCCCCTCTCAGTTTTCTCCTTTCCAAACTAAACAAGCCCAATTCTTTCAGTCTTCCTTTGTAGGTCATGTGCTCTAGACCTTTAATCATTCTTGTTGCTCTTCTCTGGAACTATTTTTATAAAATAATTTGATCAGGAACCTAAAGTAGAAAGGCAAATGTAGTAATAATATTGTTGTTGCCTACCAGAATGAGTGTTCCTAACTGTTTTTTGCATGTTGAGGGAGTTAGCCACGTTAAATATTAACTTGTGTCTTTCTGCCTTTTTTCCTTCCTGACGATCACGCACCACACTTTGACAACCACTGATATAAGGGGCTGCATATGGCTAAATGTTTATTTGACATTTTATTTCTGACTTTTAGATGCCGATCATGTAGGAATTAAAGGAGTGACTGGATGAGGATAACTCATAATAGGAAATTCAAGAGGTTATTAAAAGGGCCAAAATTCGATGCCTCTCAGCGAGAAAAGATAATTCCTTAATTTGATAATGAGAAAAGTGTTGCTCTGAATGTAAATTTTGTATAGTGAATGCTGAAATTCATAGCTCAGAACTTTTCCCATAACTAGTACTCCCTTGTTTTATATAAATGACTGTTTTGTTGACCACAGAGAGACTACCCATTGCATTTATAACCAGTGTAAACATTTTTTTTAAAATTCTATAGACAGCAGCGAGTTCCTTGCTGATGACTGCAGTATAATTGCTGGTGGAAACCTCATAGGGTGGCATCCTGATTCAGCTGCTGTATTATGGAGGAGGATCTTCGGAATTCTTGGAGATGTGAACAATATCCAGTCTCCTAAAATCCATGCCAAAGTTTTTGGGTATCTCTATGAACTATGGTACAAACTGGCAAAGGTATTGTTTCCAAAGTGTGTTTATCATAATGTAAAGAGAATGATTTTGCATTTGCTATAAATTTCATTTACAGTATAAAAAAAGTTTATTAAGTAATAAAATACACTTTTTGTTAGAATATTTGAGCTGTTTCAACTGATCATGCTATTTTTTTTAGTGATACTATCATTTTAACTGTGAGATAATGAATAAAGTGTGCATTTGGAGGGAAAGGCTTTATTTTAAATAAAGAAAAATAAATAATGAAAAAGAATGTTTGAATTTTAGGAAGAACATCTAAGAAAAGACAATTCTGTGTAGTAACAAAAATAATTTGTTAATATATTCTGAAATTGTAAAATAGTAACATTGAAGCAATGAACTGAAAGTACAAAATAATCCACATGTTTTGGGAGTTACTGTAGATTTCCACAATACACACATTTTTCTGTTGAATTTGAGTTCATTGGAAAGTGTGTGTACACAAACATGCATGTGAGGGAGGGGGAAGTGAAAGAGAGGATAGGACTTCTAGTAGAGAACCTGGAAAGTAATAGGGGATTGTAAATAATACTCATTTGTATGTATTATGTATTATTTTATTAATCCTTTCCTTTTTATAAATCAGATAAGGGACAATCTTGCTATCAGTTTGGACAACCAGTCTACACCCTCTCCTCCTGTTTTAATTCCACCTCTCAGAATATTTGCATCATGGTTGTTCAAGGTAAATTAGTCTTAAATTGTGCATAGTGTTTGCTGCATATCAATATTGAATCACTTAGTGGGATTTTTATGGTGTTTCTTTCTGCAATCATTGTTCTAGATACCCTGGAAAAATATTTAGCATCCACCCTTTAGTTAAATGTTTATCTAGAACAGGGGTGGGCAAAATATGGCCTGTGGGCTAGATCCAGCCCAGCATGGCTCAGCAGGACCCTTGGGCAGATTCCCTGTCTGTCACAGCTCCACATGCCACTCAAAGCAGCTGGCTGCTAGGGGCCAGTGTGAATGTCTCTGCACAGCATGCCCCTTGGAGGAAAAGGGTCTCTGTGCACTGCCCCACCCCCAGCACAATTCTCCAATTGACCAGTCAAACTGACCAATTGGAGCTGCAGGTGCAGTGCTTGCAGGTGCCTGCAGCCTGTTGAGACTCACTGCCCCCCTACCTCCAAGGTGCATGTTGAATAGAAAACACATACTTGCCCCAGCAGCTGGCAACTTAAAATGTTGTGCGAGGTCACATAAGCCAGGGAGTCTGCACAAGGGTCCTGCTGGGCTGCTGGCTAGGACTTACTACAGTAAGTACCTCCCAGCCAGAACCTGATCATGCATCTCACCCCCTCCCATACCCCAACCCTCTGCTCCTTTGACAGCCCCTCTCCCCTACACTCACATCCCCTCCTAGGCCCTGCATCCCAATCAGTGCTCCCTCTAAGACTTTCTATCCTTGAGTGGGTTGAATTTTCTTTTGGCGGGGGGAGGGGTTGATATTTCTTATGTGCAACACAAATATTGACGTAGAATATGCATAGTTAAACATTGTAAGCATAGCTCCTTGTTGTTTAATATGAAATCAAATAAAAAGACAATTAACACTACCGTTGGAATACATGTATTATTGTCCTTTTTAATAATTCAAGCTAGTAAACACACCAAAATGCATATTGCCAGCACATAGTTCAGCTTTCAGATGCAAACCACATCTGAGTCAACTAGAAATAGCCATGCTCCCCTTACAAATACTAATACTGTATTTACTGACACTAGAAAAGAGAGTAAAAGGCATTCTCTAAGGCTTATACAGTTTCTCTGGGGAATGTTTTAGGACCCATGCTATACAAGAAAAAGTGAAACAGAGACCTGTAAAAATAGATACAAGTTCTCCTGGTTTGAAACTTTCACCTTGTGTGACACCAACTCAGAGTAGAAGCCGCAGAGAAAATTAACACATGGTTTCAGGGTTTGTAGACAGTTCCATGTTTCAAAGAGCTTGCAGATAAGGGTTCATTCTACAAAACAACTAGCATCACACATATTACTTGCTACTTCTGACTCATAAGAGCCAGAAATCTACCACATAGCAAAAATCTTGCCTTAATGCAACACAATATACCATGTATTAATTAGTAATACAGGATTCAAAAAATAATAAATAATTAAGATCAGAATTTTAGATATCTGTAACACTCCAAAAACTTCTGTTAAAAGAATCCTTTTCTTTCTTATCTTAAGCCATTAACACCTATGTAAACTTGGTTTGAAATGTAATCATGTACATGTCCATGCACCCCCCTCCTATGTAGCCTTCTCTGCGGCTTCCCCCCAATTCAGCCAGAGAGGACTGCCATCTGGACTACAGCAAGTAAATCAGGACACCCCAAAATCCCCCTTGCCTCCACCTCACTGCACAGATGCAAGCACTTACCCTTACCCTTCCCCTTTCCTCTACCTACCCTTGTGTAATCTCCTCCCCACCACCCAGGCAGGGGGCTGGGATAAAATCCTGCTTCTCCGATTGAATTCACCAGCAGGCTAGGTAGGAGCTAGGACAAAACATACAGCATTAACAAATTATCCCCCACCTCACCCCTGGACACACAGCACAAACTCACTCTCCACTTCCACCTCACCCCAATGCTAGCACCCATCCATCTTCTTTTCCCCCCACCTATCCCATGCAT